GAAACTGTATGAGCCTTCCTGATGAAACAGCTCTCCAGAAAGGTATTTCAGCCTGTGAGAAGTTCTGAGAGCTAACAGTGGTGTGCCAGTTTAAAAAGTATGCAAAACACCAAATTAGTTTTCAACTGCACATTCTTATCCATTTTTCTTCTAAGAGTGGAAACAGTCTATGCAATAACCATGAACAACTGAAACAATCACAAGCAACTGTACATGCAGTGAGCATTTAACTTATGTAACTCATTTACTTCAATCTTAAGCCTTAAGTTGTGCCAGAGGAGATTAAGGCTGGATATCAGAGAAAATTTCTTCTCACAAAGAATAGTGATGGACTGGCACAGGCTGCCCAGGGAGGTCAGGGAGGTTGGAGTCACCATCCCTGGGGGTGTTCAAAAACCATGTGGATGTGGCACTGAGGGATGTGGTCAGCAGGCATGGTGGGGATGAGCTGGCGGTTGGACTAGATGAACTGAGGTCTTTTCCAACCTTCATGATTCTATAGACAATTTTCAAGGTCAGAAATTTTACTCATTCCTTTTGTCTAGCTCCCTATTTGCCTGTAATACCATGCACAGGGCTACCCTCTCCAATAGCTCCAGTGCCTAGAAATGAGTCCTGCTTCTTCTCCTTAACATTGGGTCTTAAAGAAGAGAACTGCAAGCTTCTCTTAATGGCTGCTTGAAGGGCTCAACAGTTAATCTGCAACAGAAGTATCTGAAAGCAAAACCTGAGTCACACCTTAACTTGGATTTTCTACTACCAGCTAGAAACTACTGAGTGAAGGAGAAAATACTGATACTACTGATAAAGAGAAGTATTTATCACCTTACTTATCAGATAATTATAACACATAAGTGAATATAAATAAGGCCAGCAAGCAGTTCTCACTTACACTGGGAAATGGAAGACAAAAAATTAAGGTACCAAATTTACTTTCTGTCTCCTTCTATTGACACCATGTGCTGCCTAGTTTTAAGCATGCCATGGGTGACAAGAAAGGTCAGCATTTCACTCAGGAAACTCTACCTCCACCTAACCATGAATCCCTTGAGCACCACAAGTCAGCTGAGGACCTTTGCTCCTCCAGGTCCTGCCTCCGACGTACATCTGTAAAAGCAGCTGAAGAGTTTATGGTGGACTCAGTGAAGTCTCAGAGAATGACAGTTACTAACCAGAAAGGGGATGTGGCTAAGCTGGAGTTTCTGGAGATGCTACTTCTGTTTCAGACCAAGGAATTTCCCATACACTGCGTCCACTGCTCTCAAAGAAGACATACATGGTGCAAATGCACTCATCAGACTGTACACTACTAACACTACTGCCCTCAACAGAGCAGTTTGTCATTCTGCCTCTGAGATGCAGTAGATTGCTCCTGCTGCCATGGTGCATGCATTCTGAAGACACTGCACTTGGCATTCCCTCACTCACCCATCTTTTCTTCCCTGCTGTTCTTTTAAATTATGAAAAAGTGAAGTCCTTTTAGTAACTCAGCTCTTCCGAATTGAATGTGATATTCCACGGCCTGCCTGGTTCTATTAGAACTGATTTCAGCTCCACACAATGCTCGCATGCCTCAAGCCAGAAATGGCTATGCTCATTACTATGACCAGATCACACTGGAAAATGAGTTTCTTCTTTCTTTTTCCTTCTACATTTATAGCATTCTAGATCTCCTAACCCTTATATAACCACTCCAAAAAATAAAATTTGGAATGCTCACAGATACTTTAACCTTCACAAGCTGCTGCCTCTTTTTACATTGTTATCTCTCAACTAGATGTGATTATGCTCTTAAACTCAACCTACAAGCTTTTAATTAAGGTGCTACTTGAGAATGTATCATCTTTTTTTTCCCCCCTCATAGCTCACTGACCACAGCAAAGGAGATTAAAGTATTCTGCCAAAAACCAATGCTTTGTTGCTTATTTTTTCTTTACTGTACACTCTGAAAAGCATTAGTGGGATATATTTTAATATAAGACTTAACAGAATTTAGACTTTGTTCAAATACCTTGCAGGCATTATCTTGCCAGCTTACCTGATCAGTACTTTTCTAATTACAGAATCACAGAATTGTAGGGGTTGGAAGGGACCTCCAGAGATCATCGAGTCCAACCCCCCTGCCAAAGCAGGTTCCCTACAGCAGGTCGCACAGGTAGGCATCCAGGCAGGTCTTGAACATCTCCAGAGAAGGAGACTCCACCACCTCCCTGGGCAGCCTGTTCCAGTGCTCCGTCACCTCACTGTAAAGAAGTTCTTGCGCACATTTGTGCAGAACTTCCTGTGCTGCAGTTTCCAGCTGTTTCCCCTTGTCCTGTCTCCACTCACCACTGAAAACAGTCCATCCTCGCCATTCTGCCCCCCACACCTTAGATATTTATAGACCTGGATCAGGTCCCCTCTCAGTCTTCTTTTCTCAAGGCTGAACAGACCCAGTTCACTCAGCCTTTCTTCATAGGAGAGATGCTCCAGGCCCCTCACCATCTTTGTGGCCCTAATTACTTAGTTCTTTTAAAAAGCATTTTCTTGGGCTTGCCAGTACTCTCCATCCCACTCCCAATTTCTTCAATTCCCCTAGAAAATCTTAGTCTGCACACTTTCGCAGGCGCTTAACTTTCCAGACAGGTATTTTCAAATAGCAGTTTTTATAAAGCAGAGGCATCAGCTGAAAAGCTAGACGTGAGCAACGCAAGGAAAAGAAGTATTTTCCTTCAGCAAGTGGGAGGAAGGGTTAAGCAGGAACATTATTTAGTGCAGCTCTGGCTCCACACCTTCTGCAGGGCCGCCTGTTCCAGCAGCCGTCAGCACAGGACCCAGCAGCAGGCACCCAGAGCCCATGCTACCCAGCTGCAGCATGCTGACACATGCTTGGCAATGGGAATGCCACCTTCAGACTTGGGGGGAGAGCGGCACAAACCGCCCTCACCACAGTTGTGCCACTTCAGCCCTACTTGGAAGAAAAAAAAAAAAAAAAAAAAAAAGGAAGGAAGGGGTGGGGGCATTCATCAACCGTGCCATCTTCACCACATCTTGCAGTCCGTTACAGCACTTGATAGGTGACACAGCAGAACCACAGGCCATTAATTGCAGCAGCATTTCCATGTCAGAATGTTTACGTTTACAGGGAGCACAGGTCTTCACAGACCCCGTGCCCAGGAATGCAGCGCTGCTTTCCCTACCAGGACTTAACTCCACTGTTTCACTAGGGTAAAAACTGAGCTTTTGAATTTAAAAAAGTGAGAATCACTCTTCCCTTTGGAAAGTCAAAAAACTGTTATATCAATTAGCTTCTCTGTTTTCTAACATCAAACCAAACCTAATAGGTTTGACTTGGAAATTTAAGATCTCCCAAGATTCATTACACATTTTAGGCAACACGTAATGGTGGCCATGCAATAGCCTGAAAAAAGGCAAGCAGTTTGTTTTTCTTCCCTGAAACAGGACCGTATATATCCAGAGACTTCTGAAAACAGGTTAGACAGTTCATCAATTAAGACTTCACACACTCCCTATCCTGTCCCAGTGCTCAAGCATGCTTAACACGTTACCTACAACCTGAGCCAGATTATCACCTCCAAATTCAGTTTATTACTTCTTGATCTACTCTTAGAAGACACTGAAAACACCTACCTGTTCCTAACTATAGCATTTTCTTCCATTTCTAAAGTTTACCGTTGTGTATGTTATTCCTCCCTTAATTATTCCCCTCCTTCAGCAAGATAGATGTCTGAAAAACTAGGTTCTTTCTTAGGTGTCTTACGCCCATTATGTTCCCACACACTTTCTATGACACTGATCAGTGCTACTAATCTGCACTTCAGGTGCCAGTCCTTCACTCAGCCCACCTCCTTCCAAACGGCAGTATGAAACAGATGTATCCTAATGTCTGAGTTGCTCTGAACCGCCGCTATTTCATCTCCTCTTCCACCCCTTCTGTTTCATTTTTTCCCTGCTTGTACAGCCCTTCATTCCCTGAACTCTGCTATCTGTAGCACACTTGAACACCCTTATCTTTTACAGGCAAGCTTGCAGTGACTATGTATTTCTAGTTGCGTTTCTGCACACCAAGATACTTCTCATGTGCTTCTGAACTACTAAAATTCCCTACAAGATTAATTTGTTGAACCAATCACTATTTCACAGTAATTCTCACTCTTTGAAAGCTACAACAGTTCACGTAATAACATAACCTGCTGTTTAGAATTTGAATTGTATCACTTTGCAACTTGTTTGCTTTTTTTTTTTTTTAATACATAAGCGGAGATACATTCATATCTGAATACAGAGTGTTCTATTCTCTCGTTTTCCATAAAGAAACGTGGCAGTCCAATTACATTAGCTATGAACAATGCAATAGATCTGAAAGGCAGAACACATTTAAATGCTTTTTAAAAGAATACTGGAATGGATAAGAGCAAAGGTGGTTCTGAGGCCTGCCTCAAGGCCACCAGTCTTGGCGCGGATGGCAGGGAAGTCTACACTGCAAGTTCCCGATGCTTGTTTTTACAGACAGTAATCAGCATCTTTGAGTGGACAGGGAAGAAAAAGTGAGGAGATAAGGAGGCTTTGCTGCCCTGAACACACCAAACAGCAGAGGCAGCGCCAGCCAGCAGTGACACTCAGCTGCTGACTTCTGGAGACAGCGGGACAGAGCCACCAACCATCCCAGCACCTGAACAGTGTATTCTGGGGCTGTCAAAGCCAACCTAGGATAGCGTTCAATATGAACTCATCTAATGCCAATGACCAGACTGCTTTTATGAGTACAGTAGATCCTCACATCTGCTCTGAGGAAACTGCTGCAGACCTGGAGCCGCTCTGGGGTTGGATCACCTATAAGGAAGCACAGCCTAGGCCTGAGGTAGAGCAGAGTCAGGTTCATACATTTGCACTGCCAGCTATAACAGAGCCTGACCTGCTTTGCTTCTGTTAGCAAAAACAAAAGCAAAAATATGCTATTAGTTATGCCCCTGCATGTGATGTGCTATAAATATACTTACATCTTTTGCCATGTTACCCCAGCCTAGCAGGCAATCCTCTTACAATCCTGCTGCCTGCGGGACGCGGGGACCACGATGCTATTTTCTAGAAAGCAAACACAGCCAACATCAGTCAGCTTACCACAATGAGAAGAGGCAAACTTTGCACCGCCCCAATTCCCGACTGCTCCCCACAGCGTTTTGCTTCACAACACAATCCTCTGGGAGAGCACGAAGTTCTGGCCCGGCCCCCCCCCCAGTCCCGCTCCGTCGAAGCGACGCCCCCGCTCACAGTCAGCACGTGGGAGCGACGCCCCGCCGCCCCCCCCTCCCCGCACAGCCGCCGGCTCCGCTCCCGTCCAGCTGCACAGGGGGGTGCACGGCACGGTCGGGCCTCCTCCAGCCGCCCCCATCCCGGCGGCGGGCACACGTAGGCCTCGGGGCCGCCCCCCTCCTCCCGCCCGCAGACAGAGGCTGCAGCCGCCGCCCGCCCCGCGCCCCTCCGCCGGGGCCTCCGCTCATCGGCGAGGGGCCACGCCGATCGCGGCGTCTCCCAGCGACTTCCATCCTTTTCCTCATATCCTCGGGCCGCAGCCGCCCGCACCTGAGCGGCCCAAGGCGGAGAGCGCCGGCTCCATCCCCCGCCGCCGCCCCCCAGCCCGGGTCCCGGCGCGCAGCACCCCCCGCCCGGCGCCGCGCTGCCGCTGCGGAGGCGCCCGACTGCACATGTGCGGCGGCGCGCGCGGGCCCGCGAGCACGGCGGGAGGGGGCAGGGGCGGAGGGAGGGAAGGAGAGAGGGAGGGAGCGGGCGCCCAACGGCCGCTCGGTAGGGGGGGGGGGGGCGAAC